GGGCAGAGTCATCACTGAGTCCATGATACCCCCAGTGGCCAGTGCAAAGCCCTGCATGGAAGGGGCACAGATGTTTGCTGATGGAGCCAGGGCTACTTCTCTGACAACTGTGAGGAGTGTCCAAGAGAAGACTCCGTTAGCCAAGTCCCTGAGAGTCCCCCCAGCACTGCACCCCGCACATATCATTGACACATGGCAACTCCATATTGTGCTAATCAAGAGTCAGGAAAACACCATCTGACGCTTTGTACAGCTGCCCAGCCCGGCACCCAGCTCCCCGGGAGGAGCCTCTGCTGTGCCCAGAGGGGGAGTGCTCAGTTAAGGCAAATGAAGAGACCTCTGGGCCTGGCATATCTGGGAAACCTCTGCCCCAATATCATGCAGTACTGCACTGGAAGGCTCGCCTGGGTCAGGCAGGTAGGGCATTTGATGAGCAGAGATCAGAGGACAATTAGCCAGCCCCAGAGGAGGCAATTAATCAACATCCAAGGCCTTCCGTCCAGGTCTGCTGTGATTGCTGCCCTGCCTGTGCCCTGCCTGTGAAGTCAGGGCTGGGGCCAGGCTGACAGGAATGGACTCGATTGCTGTCAGCATGCCCATTGCTGGCACAAACTCCATCACCAATACTACCTCCAGCAGCTCAGTGTTGCTGTCACCATCACAGTCAACATTGCTGTCACCCTCACAGTAGCATCAACACCTAACCAGGGACTCACTGTCACCATCCCCATCCACACTTACCTGTGCTTACTCTTCCCAATTCAAGACACTTTCACACTGTCCCCTCATTCAATTCTCCTCAGTCCCAAAAGATACACAGGTGGCTTGCTGGTGGGGAGACTGAGGCACAGAGAGGGGAAGGGCCACGGTGGCTAAACCAGCGTGAGAATCTGGCCCTTGGCATACAGCCTACATACCATACATACCATCACTACCATCCCTCTCCTTCTTTCTCCTAGTACTACCTGCTCAAAGAGATGTTCTTCCTCCCCTTCACCAGTCAGGATGGGCTCAGTTAGATTGTAATAACAAAAACTCTAAAATGTAGTGGCTTCAAATAATGAAGGTTTATTTTGTTTCACCGATACATGTCCTTCATAGGTCAGCCAAGGCTCTGCTCCACGTCATCCTCACACTGAGACCAGACTGACCAAACAGCCAAAGTCTGGAAAACTGTCATGGCAGAGGGAGAGAGGGGCCTGAAAGGTCTCACACTAGCAATTAACTGCTCTAGCCTGGAAGCATTGTTTCTGCTCGTCACTCATTGGCCAGAACCAGACGTGCAGCCCCTCTTTACCACCAGGGGGCAGGAAGCTGCAATTCTACCTTTAGCCTGGAAGCAGGGAGAACAGGGGAATTCGGCAACTGCCAACAGTGGCTGTGGGATTTCCCCTTCCTTCACTCCCTGCCTCCATCTCCCAGACCCATGTGCCCACATTCTCTAGCCCCTGGCCCAGCAGGACTTCGAGGGTTGAGATGGGGCTTCCTTAGTCCCCCTGGGATCACAGGCTGGACTTCCTGCTTCAGGAAAGTATGCCTCTGGGGATGAGGCTGGGTGAGCCAAGAAGACCTGGGATCCTGTCCTGTCCCACTGGAGCCTTGTGGAAAGGGAGGGAGGGTTTGAGCTGGGCTGCAGGCAGTGACTCTGGCCAGGGGTGTGGTGAGGGTTGGAATGAAAAAGGCTAAGGCAGAGGCCAGCCAGTAGAGTCCCGTGAGGATTCAGAAAGGGAGAGGATGGGCAAACTGAGGGTGGGAGCCTCAGTAGAGAGGCCAAGACAGAGGAGAATGATGAGTGAAGTGGCCAGAGAGGCCTCCAGCGGCTCTGGGTGACCAGCTGGTTAGCTGGTTCTGGGCTGTGAGCCTCATGGTCTGTGCGAGCATTAATAAGGCACCATCTGGGGTACCCCAGTTACACACTGATCCTCCAAACCTCTAACATGCAGCCTGGCCTCCCAGGGGCTGGGCTGCAGGAGTAAATCTGAGACTAGAGATTAGTGAGGAGAGGGCTGCTTGGGGGCTCTGAGTATTGGGTCTGGAATTCTGGGATTCAGCCCTAGGGCTCCAGATTCCGAATTTAGTGCTCATTTTGCTCCACCCCCACAAGCCAGGGCTGGAGAGGGGCAGTGAGCTGGCAGGATGGGGAGGGTCTGCATCCAGGTGAGGCCACATATGATTCTTCTGGTGCTGGGGTGTCTGTGCCAGGCCAAATGTTGCTCTTCCTACATCATCCATCACTGGGCTACAGAAGGCTGATCATGATCAATAAAACAAACAATTATCCTGTCATTACTGATTGCAAGCCTGGGGTGGGGGCAGCAGCTGAGGGCGGAGCACTTGGGGTCTGGGGGAGCTTCTCATGAGGACAGCCCACACCTGGGGTGTTGGCCCAGGTTGAGGGGGGCAGGGGATGAGGATTGTGGAGGCTGACAGGCAGGGCTGTCTGGGAGTGGGAGGCAGGGCCCAGAATTGGCAAAGCAGGGGGAGTGAGCTCTGTCTGAAGGAGGTGGGTGGCAGGCCAGTCCCCATCCCACTGACAGAGGAAGCGACTCTGAGCGGGCTGGCTGGCCCCACCCTCTTACCTACTCCCCTCATTCTAGTGTCTCTCCCTGAGCAGCCTAAGCTTGGGGAAGGGAACAGATCAGGAAAGGTGGTAACTGAGCAATCCCAGGCACAAATTAGGAACCCTCTTATGCCCACCTGCCCCATCTCAGGATCCCTAAACACTCGGCCAAAATAATCTTGTCATCACTGTCCCTGAGGGCACATTGTCTAGGCTGCCCAGGCAGCCAAGTGTCAAAGGCAGTGGGTATGAGTCTGGCTTCGTGGGGGAGGCAGGAGTGACCACCACTCTGGAACCTGGGTCCCAGCTCCTGAGAGATGCTCGGCTTCTGGCCTGGGAATGGAGGACCTGTACTCGAGCCCCTTGGAGACCCAGGCAGGCCCAGGGCTGCTGACTCAGCAGAGAGGAGCCAGGGCTGCACAACTATAGCCACCTCAATCCCCCCAGTGCTTTGCCCTGTCCTATTCCCAGCCCCACGGAGGGGAAATCTCTCCATCAGAGGGAAGGGAAGAAAGGAGAAGTGATTTATTATTCTATTCCATTGTGCCTGTTTCCAGAGAAACTAATTATGGTGCATTGTTGTATTAGATACTTTCAGAAAGATTACATTTTCTTACTTTGGCCGATAAAAAAATTAAATCCATCAGTTTTCCTAAACACATTACAGTAAAGACAGACTTGCTCCTTGTAATTATTAATCAGTCGGATTTGGGGATGCAAAGCATTTGACTTAAGCTCAATACAGTCACGAACAATGTTCCGGAATCGCATTTGGTATTGAAACAATTTTTCAATTTATTAAAAAGTCATTAAGGCAGTTGGGGTGGGAGGTGCGGGGAGCTGGGCTAAGCCGCTGAGTCAGGGTTGTGGATCTGGGGGTGTTGGTAGGCAAGGGGGGCTCTGCAAGCAAGAAGAGACCTCAGGTCTGTCTCACTCCTAAGCCCAGCTCTATCCGAGGGGGCGGTTCAAGGTGAAATGGGACCCTGGGAAGTCAGCCCCTGCCCCCACCCCACCCCAGCATCCCTATCCTGTGCCTTTGCCTATCTAGCCATCCAGAGTCTCCCGTTCCAGACCGTGAGCTCCATAGGACAGAGCAGTGGCAGTAAAGGGTCCCTCTGGGAACAATGTGGCCTACTGAGCCTTGAGCCCACTTTCTAGTGGTCCTGCACAGAGAGCTGAGAGTCCATCTGATTCCCATCCCTGGCAAGGAGACAGGCCCCTGCTACCAGCTCAGGCCCTTGGAGCCCCCAGGTGGGGTCATGTGGCTATTTGGAAGGACACCTGGTATGGCCAAGTGCCTTGTTCCAGTCGCTGGCCCTGCTCACTCAATCATTTAATTACTCCTCTGACACTTCCTACTCTTGGGAGGGATTTACAGGGGTTTAGGAGGCTGGCAAGCTACAAGCCCAGCTTAGCCTGAGTCCTGGGTGGCGTGGGAGCTGATGGGCAGCAACAGGACCTGGACTCAACTCAGAGCTCAAGTGCATGCAAACTTGACTTTGAACAAGTCAGTTAACCTTGCTGCACCTTAGTCTGCACTCCTGGAAAAAGGGGGTGCTGCTGCCTGTCTCCTCACACACGACAAGGGAGGTGATAAGATCTGTGTCTGTCTCTCCTGGTCTGGAAGTCGGTCATGTCACCTCTCTGCCCCTTTGCCATCAAGGTAAAGTCCTGTCTCCTCCCTCAGGGGCTACTTCACACGTTATTCCCTCTGATTGGACTACTTATCTCCTTCCATAGGTTTTCCTGCTGAAGAATTCCACCCAGACTTCCTTCAGGCCTCTGCTTTAATGACCTTCCCAAATCTGAACGAGGCATGTGGGTGTTCCCAAGGCCCCTGGGCTGCTCCCTGTCATCACATAGTGCCTGACCAGGGCCTTGTCTGCCCCCATGAGGTATGGGCCCCAGAAGGGCCAAGTCCTGTCCCTGACATCCACCAGCAGAGTGGAGACCTCATGCCCTCTCTCTACATGAGACCTAGCCTGACCTAGCCTTGGACCTTGCTGGACCGTGCTGGTCATTCTTTCTGGGGCTGTGTTGGAAGGGTCCAGGACCCCAGAGTCAGAGGACCAGACAATGCTGGGCCCTCATAGGCTCTCTTGATCCAGTGCTGAGAGACCCCATCCAGCAGCAAGACCTCTCAGCTCTGTCCCCTACCCCACCCCAGTGCCCACTCTGGATTTGTTGCCAAGGAGGGAGCTGGGGAGGGAAGCCAGCTCCACTCTTAGGATGCCCTATAGCCACCAAGAAACCCAGGATGAGGCAGGGGCTGGAGCCAAGGCTTGCATTGCCACTGACTTCTGGGTTACCTTGTCTAGCTCTGCCTCCTTGTGCCTCAGTTTCCCCTGTGTATATAATGGCCCCTACCCCATTAGCTGAATAGGGATGGAAAAAATATCTGAATGGAGGGGAAGACTCCAGGATAGGAAGGACCTTGGAGCAGGGCTGGGGTTTGAGCATCAGCATAATTAGGGGTGACTGGTGATATTGGCGCTGGGCCTCCTGCACAGGGTTGGATTCCAGACCGGTCCCGCCCCCTATTGTCACAAGTCACAAGGCCACAGAGAAGGACTGCTGTGCACGGGGGGCACCCTGCCTCCCTCCTTGTGCCTCTCACCTGCGGGCAGGTGGAATTGAGCGTGTTCCAGACACTTCATTTCCCAGGAATTTATGGAGGGTTTTATCTTCCCTCTTTGATTACCGGTGAGGGGAAGGAGAGGGCACACTTGGCTCCCTCCCCTCCAGAGGGGCAAGGAACAGCAGCCTGGCCACCCTTGAGCTTGGAAAATACTGTCTAAATCCCGCCTCAGCAAACCCTCCTTCCCTCTATGGGGCCTCGTCAGGGCCCGGCGGGTATGGGGAGGGGATGGCAGCCATTTAAGCTGTCACTAGCTCCATCAGAGGATTTAAATCACTGACACAGAGTAACAGCGCCATAGATTACAGCACGGGAGCCACGCGGCACAGCCCAGCAGAAGCAGACAAGGGGAGGGAAGGGAGTAAGGAGATATGGCCATTGCTCTAGCATTTCAGTGGGGTGGGGGGGAGCTCTCTGCCACTCGGGTCAGCCCAGCAGGGAGTTTCTGAGTGTCCTGCCTGTCCCTCCATTTGGACCAGTCCCCCACAGAAGCCCCATACCCCTGGGCTGCTCCAGGGCCCTCCCCAGCTGAGGACCCATCCCTTGTGCCCTCCAGATAATGGCTGAAGTCATGGTTCATTTTTCTCCCAGGCTCCCTGTGGACCTTGCACCCAGAGGCCTCACAGCCATGGGCACCCCTGTGAGTGGGTAGGGGTGGGGAGTTGGGGGCACCTGGCAGGGAGTCTGCCTGCTCTCGCTCACAGGCGCCCAGCCATTGTCTCTGATTGCATGGTATTAGCTGTAAATTACAGCCTTTGGGAGGCCTCATGTAAAAATAAAATAAAATAAATGTCAAAAGACAGAGAAAATATTGATCCTTCAGAGAAAAGAAAGGATTGCTTGGTTAAATTAAAACTTTGAGAGGAAGGAGAGTATAGGAAGATGGTCCCTAGGACTGAAGAGCAGCCTGGGGCATGGTGGAGGTAGTCTGGGAGACCATGATTTACTTGGTCATCAAACATGTTGGTTCTGAGATCCTGGCCTGTCTATGCTGATGTGGAGAATACATAGACAAGATGTGACACCACTCACTGGGGAGACAACAGACCCATGAGACTCACCAGGAGGGACCCCAGGCACTGAACCACAGGTAGAATGGGCAGCTGGTCTCCGGCAAGGTTGCAGGAGCTCTCCGTGGCGCTGAAGTCCATCTACGAGGTAAGAAGGCCACTGCCCATCCTGCCCGCCCAGCCCAGGGAGAATCCCAGGCCCCTCCCTCTCTGCCTGGGTCTGGGGCCTGGAGGGAGGCCCACATCAGAGCCCAATTTGCCCCACAGTTCCCCCTCCACAAATACTCCTCTTCTGGTCCCTCCTCACTTTCTTCCTCTCCTCTCTCACTGAGAAAGACAGGGAGATTTCCTGAGCCTGCCTCAGTAAGGGCAGAAACAAAAGAAATATAGACTGAAGGATGGACAGAGGCTCTGACTGCCTGGCAGGTGGACCATGTCCACAATGACATTTCTGCAGCAGGGGGCATTTCCCATTGGAATCTGACAGATCCCAGACCTGCGGGACCTTGAGGCCAAGGCTAGGTACTCAGCATCCCTGCATTCCCAGGCCTGTGAGGTTAGGCTGGGGCAAGGAGGACACTTAGAATATCAGGGGGTGTTAGGGCCAATGGGACAGATAGGAGCCCCTGGAAGTCTTAGCTCATAAGGGCTGGAGTGGCAGAAAGCACCTCTCCCCTACTACCACAGATTTCCTGGAACTTCAGATTTCCAGGGGCCCCCCTTGAAGGGTCCAGGACAAATTTTTTGGAGGCCCCTGGGCCTCAGGTTGGGACACCCATTTGTTTCTTCAATGAGAAAAATGCAGTAAAAGGATATCCCACTCCCAGCAACATCCTCTGGGTCCTTCACTCACCTACCATGGCCATGGGACAGAGGCTCCAAGCTAGCCCTGCCATGCTCTCTTTCCTATTCTGAAAGTGGTCACAGTAGGGGCATCTGTAGGGTGCTTGCAATGAGGGACAGATAACTGGTCACAGAAAGGGCTGGGAAGTTGGATAAGGTTTGAGATGGATCCTGCCAGAGGTGGGGGGAGGGGTTCCTGGAAGTGAGACACCTCACACCAGGGGCACCTACCTGAACTTCTCCTCTCTCTCTCACCTGCAGCCCCTAGCCCCACACATCTGGCTGCTCCTACTTCCTGAGCCCATGACCCAGTCCTGCTTGACCTTGAAGTGTGGCAGGATGGGGCACTGGAGCAGGTCTGCTGGAAAGGCCCTGGCACAGCCTGCACTTCAGCACCTGCTCCTCCATTAGCAAGTGGGTCCAGGTGTGCTATGGCCTGGGCTCCTGCCTGGGAACACCTCCTCTGGTGAAGGTGCCCACCTGACACCAAGCACCTGGGATGAAAGGTACCTGCCTTCCTGAAGAGAAGAGGGAAGCAGCCTCTGGTGTCAGGAACCCCCTACCCACCCTCCTGCTCAGTAGCCCTGAGGCTGGCCATGTTTGATTCTCCACTGGCACTCAAGGCCAAAGCCTAGCCCAGGCCTCCTCTTGCCACTTGGGCTCCCCTGACTCTGTACTCTATGTCCAGCTGTCCTGGATGTCCACACTGGATGACAACTCCAGGACTCAGGAGGTGCCTGGGGTGGGTGACTCCTCCAGGGCCCTACAAGGATCAGGCCTAAAAGCCCCCTCCTCGATGCCTCCTCCTTGACATGGGCATCCACCTCTGGTGTCCTTGAGCCATCCTCCCCTCCCTGTAACTTGGCCCCCAAGGGACCTTTTCCGTCATCCCTCCTTCCTCAGGCTCCCTCACCCCAGAGCCTCTTTGAGTCCCCTCCTTTTAACCCCCTCCCCCGTCTGAACCCTTCCTCTGCCAGGCCCAGGGGTCACGCCGGCTGATTTCACCTTGAAGCTCCCTTATCAGTCTCCATCTCTTGTTTGGCCTTAGCTGGAGCAAAATTGTTTTCTCTGTGCCTGCCTTGAGCAGTGGGGCCAGAGTGGGTGCAGGGATGGGAATGAGCTATGGTGGAAACTCAACTCCTGAGATCCAAGGGCCTCCTCTTCCCCCTCTTCCTGTGCCTGGACCCTATCCCTGCTCTCCACCCGTGAACCCAGGCACAAAGATTTGCTGCTCTTCCCCAACCCACTCACCTCTTTCATCCTGGGCAGAGCTGACCTAGTAGACACTTAGGATGCACCCTCCCCTGTGTGAACATGTTCCCCCTACCCCATGGGCTGGGATCCACACAAGCACAGGCCCACATTCCTTTGGAATCCCCATTTTGTACTTGTGCTTCCCTCTGGACATGCACAGACTCCCCCACAAGAACATGTACCCACATACTTGTGCATGTGCCCAACACAGAGCTCCACAAAGTCAGAGCCCATAGAATCCCAGAAGTCCTTCCCTCCCCTAACCCAGTCCAGATACCCTGTTGTACAGATGTGAAAGCACAGGCCCAGAGGGGTGGAATGGAAGCAGGTGTCCCAGGTGGGACATGGGGCTGGAAAGTCCTAGAGAGGGGCTGGGGTCCAGTTGGTTTCCCTCACTGTTTTGAAAACAGTTCTCTCTGCAGGGCCATTCACCTGGGCACATTCTCCAGCACCCCCACATCCCTCAACCCCTGCCCTCCATCCTCTCCTCTCTATCCCCAGCTTTCTCTCAGGGCCACCTCCCCATCAGGAAAATCATCTCAAGCCCTAGCCATGCTCTGGACTCCTAGCTCCACAATTCTGTTCTGTGACCTCAGGCAAGTCACCTCACCTCTCTGTTTCCATTTCCTCAGCAAATGAAGATGATAATAGAGCTGACCTCATAGCCTCACATGATCTTGTGAATCTGAAAGACTCATCTGGAAGGGACTTAGGGCAGAGAACAGGGTCCTATACCAATATAACAGTAACAGCAGCAATAATAATAAATGTGCTGCCCTTCCTTGCATCCCCCCCTGGCCTCACATTTGAGGATCTTTTCTTCTCTATTAAACTTCTTGCAAGAGTTGCCTGCACCCCGGCTGCCACTTCCTTTCCACGCACATACTCCTACACACATGTGGCCACTGGTGGGAGCATGTCCCTCAAATCCACACCCCCATATGGTACTCGCACATGCTCACACACACGCATGCACAAATGGTAAACAGAATATAATTCATTTGTAAAGGAGACTCCATTCCTGCCATCCGTCTTAACCTAAAATTCAATACTTCCTGCTGCAACTCGCCAGGCCTTGATAAATGGTGAGGACAAAGGCCCCATCCCATGCACCCTGCTCTCTGGAACAACGAAACACCAGCCACCAGCCATGAGGGGCCCAGTGGGGATGGAAAGGCAGTGCAGTGTCCCAGGGATCCCGAGAGTTGGCTTGTAACAGTCTAGAGACCCATGTGGAGCCAGAGTAGGAACTACTCTGACTTCAGTCTCCCATCTGTAGCCTCCCAGGGGTTCAGAATATCCCTTTCTGATGCTGTGTTTTTTTCTGGACCTTTTCAGGGCCAGTGCAGCCTGACTAGGAGTGGACTGAGGCCCCTCCAACTACCTGGATGCCAGCACCCACCTCAATTCCACTCCTCCATCCCCAGCCTCTCCCTCAGCCACCCGCTCTGAAACAGTTCCTGTATCCCTGCCTGCGCTCCACGCTCTTTGAGCCTGTGGCCACTTCCCAAGTACCCCTGACCTTTGCATAAACTGTTCCTCACCCCAGATCGCCATTCTTTCCCTCCTTAACCTGGAGAACTCCTCCACATGATTCAAAGCCCATTTCAAAGGCCCTTCCTCCAGGAAGCCGGCCCTGACCCTCCTGGAAACAGCCAAGTCCCAGGAAGTCAGGGTGGCTAGAGCCGTGAGGCCGGACATGGTGAGGGAGGCCAGAAGATCTGTCTAGGTCCCACTGCGCAGGCCCCTGCAGACCAAAGAGGGGCCTCAAATGCAACCCAGGCAATGGGGAGCCACAGCAGGGATTAAGGGGGAGCAGCACAGCCAACGTGAGGTGCCTGGGCGGGGCTTTAAAAGGCGCTGCCAGGTGCCTTCTCCATCCTAAGCCTGTGTGAGGAGCCCCGGCCCAGGTTGTCAGGGGTCCCAGGCTCGGCGTTGGCGCCAACGCCCGGCTCGCCAAGTGAACATTCTTCCGCTCGCTCGGGGAGTTTTATGGCTCGCGGTGCTTCCTCCGCAATGGTCTGTGCTGTTTACGAACCCCTCTCCGGCTTGGAAATAGACTGTCTTTCCTGAACGATTTTCTCTTTTCCCATTTACTAAACATTGATTTCCCCCCTCCTGCGCCTCTAATAGAGCAGAAACCAATACGTCTTTGTTTGCTTTTCTCGCGCGTTCGAGGCGCGGGCGGCGGCGGGGGGCGCCGGCTGCTGCGGCAGGGCCAGGCGGCTGCTCGGCGCATGTGCATTGTCCAGGTGGCACTGCCCTGCGGCCTCCCGGGCCCCACCGGCACGGCTGCCCGGTGCCCGCAGGATACCAACGTCTTGGACACCGGCACCGGGTGGGGGCACACGTCAGGCCGGCAGAGCCCGATCAGGGAGAAGCCTGAGTCGTCTGGGGCTGCTGCGAGTGCTGGTGGCAGTGGTACCGGGAAGGCAACCTGTTCAAGCCCCCTCCCAACTCTTCGTCTGCAATTTCATTAGCAGTGCCTCACCTCCTCCAGATTCTCCTTTGAAGTTCGAGTGCTTCTGGATGAGGGGCCCATTAATGCCTGGGGCTGTATTCAGTAGTGGCCAAGTGGGGCTGGGACATTCATTCCTACTTTCCTTCATGCATTCAGTCACCAAAGGTGTCAGAGTACCTGCTCTGAGCCACGCTCTGTGCTGGGGGCTTGGCATGGAGGAGGGTGTGCAAGACAGGTGACGTCTCTGCTCTAACCAGGGGCCCCATACTGCTTTCTCCTCAGAAGGGGCTAGAGTGGAGATAATTCTCAGACTGGAGGAGAGGCTCTGTGAGGGGTGGGGGGAGCATCAGATTCCCAGCAGGAGGCCCTGGGCAGGTCACTGCCCCTCTCTGAGCCTCAGGCTGCACATTTGCAAAACGGGATTATAATAGCTCCTCCTGAACAGGGTGGTTTTGGGGATTAAGTGTGGCCTTGCCCAGCATTGTACCTGGCACAGTGTAGCTGCTCAATAACATTTCCTTTCCATCCTGGCCTTGCCCTCCCCTCACCCACTGAAGAAGCAAACAGGTCAGGGCAGGGAGAAAGGAAAACTGAGTGAGAAGACCTCAGTCGCCTGTGGCCGCAGCCTGATTCATGCCTTCCCCAGGCCAGCCAGCGGTGAGAGGCCTTCTCCTGCAGGGTGGGGGCCCATCTCCTTGCCACCAGGGAGCTGAGGAGCCCGGCAGATGGAGGCCCTTCCACACCAGGATTCACATGTGACCTTGGCAAGTCTCTTCCCTCTCTGGGCCTGTGTGTCTCCATCGGGAACGTGGGTCCAGTGCCCAGGTGAACTAACACTGCTGACCAAGGCTGATGCTGCCCATCCCAATTGGAGCACCCAGGCTTACCAGCACCTACTGACCAATCCCAAGACCAGCAGCAGCAGCCCTGGGTTCAAATTCTACTCTGTCCTTGTTACCTGTGGGACCTTGGGCACATCTCTGGGGCTACTGATGGTCCCTACTTCATAGGGTTGTGCAGGGGATCAAATGGCACCAGGGAGCCCAGTTCCTGAAGTCCAGTAATGACTTCATTGGCGGAAAGGGTAGAGGGACTCAGAGAAGGGAAGGGTGGGCCTGGATGAGAGGTCCTAAAGGATGGATAAAAACTGGGTCCCTGGCCTCCTTGCCCACTGGTTGTGTGGCTACATGTCCATCCAGAACCACTATGAGCCTCACAATAGCCCTATGAGAGGCCATGTGGAAACTGTGGTTTGTTTGCATTTTATAGATGAGAAAATTGGGAGCTCAGAGAAGGGAAGGATCTTGCCCAAGTTGCACAGCAAGAGAGAGGCAGACCTAGAATAGGGCCCAGACTGGCTCTGAGTTGGGGGGTCTGTGGTCACTGGATGGGTCAAGGGGAAGAGAGGGTGCATCTGGCAGGGACACCTGCTGGGAGCAAAGGCCTGAGGCAGGAACATGTGTGTGACTCAGGCTGGGGGAAATGAAGGTCAGGTTCAATTTTGAAACTTCCCAGAAACTTGGCTCTGGCTCATTTGTAACCAAGAAAAATGTAGAAAGGGCCTCCATGGAGTTGTGCCTGATGGAGAAGGGGAAACATGAGGCCTCAGGGGGCAGAGACCAGGGGAAGGACCAAGGCTTGGGCAGACACAAAGAGGGCCTTGGCAGACTGAGGGACAAAAAACCAGGCCAGGAGACCCACCGACAGGCTGACAACAGGCAGACAGATGGATAGATAGAGGGATGCACAGACAGATGAGTAGACGATGGACAGATGGATAGACAAATGGACAGACCAATGAACAGACAGAGAGCACTAAGCAGGATTCAGCAGAGCCAAGAGGAGGAAGAGCCTCCCTGGCAGGAGAACCTGTGTGAACAAGGGCTGGAGATGAGGCTGACAGTGACCTCTGGGCCTTGGGCAGTGGAAGAGGAGGTTGATGTCCTGTTACAGTGAATCTCAGAGGCCCAGTGCCATGAGGAAAGCAGGGCTGGGGTGCGTGTCTCCCTCCACCCCACTGCTGACCACAGGCAGCCCTCCCACAACAGGACAAAGACAGTTCTTGAGGGGGGGGGGGTCCAGTCGCTCCTATCCCCCAAGGATCACTGCCCCACAGACCTGTATAGCTGGTGCCCATTGTGTGCTCAGAGGATGGAGCCTGACCACGAAGCCTTCACTGCACCGGGAGTGAGGTGTGTGGCCGGCCTCTGGAGCAAATCTGTGACTCCCCAGGGTCAACCTGGGGCAGGTGGTGGACAAGCCTTGGCCACCCCGAAGGAGCCTGCTGCAGCCACAGCACAGGGAACCTCAGTAGGGGCCTGGACCAATTAGGAAGGAAGGGGAAGCAGCAATAATTAAAAATTAAAAGCCAACAAGACAGCAGTTTAAAAATGGAAGGAGTGAGTAAAAACAATTAGCAGAGACGAGGCAACAGGGTGGGCACGTTACAAATGGAGCTGATCACAAAACACTAATGACGTGGGAAACCTAATTTTTACGGTGTCAGGACTGCGTGATGAAGCACTGGGCCTGCTCCTCTGAAACAGGCGTCATGCGGTCCGGTCTGAGGGCCGTGAGGCTTCATCTCCCTCCACCCACTTCAGAGGGGCCTGAATGGAGGGGCGGGGGCTAGAGAGCAAGGGCTGGTGGGGAGGTTTGAAGGAAAGGAGGCCGAGTGACAGTGCTGAGGGGCAGAGCTGGGAGGCCAGGAATCTGAGGCACGAGCTGGAGGGGAGCAGATATCGCCCCCTTGGCGTCCCCACCGACAAGGCAGCAGTGGTGAAGTCACAGTCCTCCACCGCACCCGGTTGCCGCGGAGACCAGGCGACCCTCCCGGCAGAGGGAGGCTGAGTCAGTTTGAGTAATGGCGGAGAACGCTGCCGCTGATGGGGAAAAATACATCTTCATAACAGGGTGAACCTTTTGGAAAATGGAATAAGTAAAATAATTGAGAGAAAGAAAATTGAGTTTTTATTGCTTTTTAAGTGTTTAAGTGGAGGTTTCATTTAGGGAAATTATCGTTGCTTTTATTTTTAGCCACGGGGTAGGGTGGGGTGGGGCCTAGGGGAACTTTGATTCAGGGCGGGGCTTGGGTCTCCTGCCCCTCCCGCAGGAGCCCCAGGGGCACCCACATCTCAAGGAAGAGATAAGGAGGCCAAGACTTCAGCAGATGGTCTGCATCCCACCTTGCCTCTTGATGTTTTAGGCTGACCACTTCAACTCCCCTCTTGTTGGTCCCCTGACTGTTGGAATGCCCCTCTTCACTTCAATAGCTCTTGCCACACAGCCTGGAATGGACCTGGTGCCTCCCCTGAGCACCCTCCCCTCAGCCTCTCCATGCCCCCTTGTGATTTCCTGGCCCCTCCTGACCAGTCCTGTGTTGCCTGTACCCAGCCCCACATGGCATGATGGCAGAGGTGGGGAAGGGGGCTCAGTAAATCCTATTGACTGCCTCATCTGCTCCATCAGAGGTGGAGGGGTGAGGAGGGACTCCTTAGACCCTCCCTGGACCCATGCCTGGAAGGTGCTGTTTGAGCCTCTCTGATGCTCTCTGCTGAGCCCAGGTGTCTATAGTCTCATTCATGCTTCTCACCCCCATTCTCTCCCCTGTCCCAGCTCTAGCTGGAACCCTTCCACACCCCGGGAATGGTCAGGCCAGGGCCACCAAAAACCCCACTGGGAAGATCACACAGTGAATGAGGTGGCCTGCCTCTCCAGTCCCCACTGCCCTCCCCCTGCCCCATGTCTGGCTGCTACTTGGGATTCTATCCTGGGCCTGCTCCCATACTCCCTTTCCTCTCCCTGGGATTGGCCTCTCCCAGGCTCCAGTCTTCCTAGGATCTCCTAGACTCCCTCCTAAGCCCCAAATGGAAGCCCCTGCTGGCTGGTCTTCTTCACTCTTTGCTGACCCCACCATCCCCCCTTGCTCAGTTCAACCCCTGATTCATTCATTCCACAGACTCCCTCATCTCTCACCAAGACAGTAGCTCCGGCAGCTCCCTGTCTCCTGCCTCCACTCTTGTGCTCCCTGCCCCAGTAGCTTCTTTAAATTCCTCAACAGCATCAATCTTTTCTCAACCCCAGGGCCTTTGTTCATGCTATTCACTTTGCTGAGAAAGTTTTTCCCCTTGCTTGGCCTGACCAAGCACAGGGGCTATTCTCACCCTTCAGGTCATGAATCAGGAGGCAGAAACCATGACTCATGTTACTGCAGTCACAAAGTGGAATTTATTGGTACAAGTAACTAAAAGTCCAGATCTTTGAGCTTCAGGCATATCTGGATACAGGTGCTCAAACATTATTACCAGAGCACAGCCCTCTATCCTGTTGTATCTCCTTGAGTGTGAACTTCATGCCCAGCCGGGCTCTCCCATGTCCTGCCCCCTCAGTATACCTCATTTCCTGTCCCTCTAGCAGAATCCCAGCATCTTAGAGATAGGGGCAGGGCATGTGTTTGTCCTCAACCCATGGAGAGAGTGTGATGGGTTCAGGGATTCCCCATGGACAACTGGGAGTGAGCACCTGAGCAGGCCTGGCCTCTGCTGAGCCTATGGCAGCGCCTTAACTCTTCTTTCCCTGATTAATTCCGGGAGGGGTGATTCTCTTCTCGTCTGGCCCTGCTTTGGCTGAGAGCCCGGAGGCAAGAACCACACTGTCTTGTTCATCTTGAGT